TGCCTCATCCCTCATCAGGACTCGGCAAATGAGCACGGCCTCTTCCCCCATGGCCATGTGAAACCCATCCCAGATGTGGTTTGGATGTTTGAACCCCTCCAAAGTTTATGAGCTGAAGTTCAAGACCAGTGTAGTCAACTATCAAGCCGTTTAGGGGTGATTAATCAGCTGTCAGGGGTGGATTAGTAATTTTACCAAAGGGCCACAGGGAACAAGCTACACTGTTCTGCCCTTCTCTGTCTTCCCACACACAAGGACAACAGGAGGGTGCCAATTGTATGGGACTGGACAGACACCAAGCCTGTTGGTAGCTTGACCAAGTTCAAACTTTCCAGCCTCCAGAGTGGTAAGAGACAAATCTCTTGTCACTTATCTAGCACTCTGTCCATGCCATTTTGGTAGGCAGCCAGAATGCATGAAGTTGTGGCTTCAGGTCAGCCCCATCCTGATTCCAAGCCTGGGTTTGTATTTGCCTTTCCCACCACTGTAACATTGCCCAGAGCCTCTCATCCACCTCAAAGCACACACACTAAGGTGCCACCCTTCTTCCTGGCCACATTCTCACCTTGTGCTTCTGCCTTGGTGGCCAAGTAGGAGCCCACAAGTCCTGTTACTCATGACATTCTCTCTACCCCGACTCTGTATGCCTCCTGAGCCTGCCACCCTAAGACTCCCTAGGGTTTAACTGACTTCCTCCTACATAGAACCTACTTAACAGCTGGTTTGCAAAAGAATTAGGCTGACTGGAATAAGCCATGCTATCTCATCGCTCAGGAGGCAGAGACAAATAGATCTGTAAATTTGGGTTTAGCTTGGTCTATATAGTGAGTTCCAGGGCAGCCAAGGCTCAAAAAATACAAATACAAATAAAAGAAAGAAGCCAGGTTTTAGAGACACTGCATGCTCCCATTTGGTTAAAGAACTATATTTTTTATATTATATGGGTAGTTTTGCAGGCATTTAAGTTTGTGTACCATGTACATGCAGTATGGGCAGAGGCCAGAAGAGGGAACCTGATTCTGGGAAACTAAGTTACCAATTGTTGTAGCCACCATGCTGGTGCTAGGAATCAAATCTGGATCCTCTGTAAGCATGTCCTTAACTGCAGAGCCACCTCTCTGGCCCTTATTTTTATTCTTCATCATAAGTATGTGTGTGCCTGAGTGTGTTTATGTGTACCACATGCCTGAGGAGGCCGAAGAGCCCGTCAGATCTCTTGGAACTAACATACAAGACAGTTAGTTGCCAGCTGCTGTGTGGGTGCTGGGAGCCAAACCCAGTCCTTTGCAAGTGCAGCCATCTCTCCAGCCTTTGATATGTGTATGGATATTTTTGGATATATACATATCCAAAAATATCCCTGTGGGACTCAACAATCCTCAAAGTGCAGTGTGCTGTTCAGTATGGACTGCTTTTCAAATGGGTCCTCATCAAGGCCCACTGGCCCAGGAGATGGACACTCCAACCCAACTAGGGGTCATTGTCTGACTCTGGCCTGCAGCTCTAAAGCACAAGACAAGTTCAGAGATAGGTGGGGAAGGACTTCCTCCAGACCTGCCCTAGCTCCTGGGAGGGACAGCAACTCAAGTGAGGAAAGGAAGGACCCTCGGAGCCCCAAATAGCAGGCAAAGCCCTCTGGGTGACTAATGTGCTCAGCACACTGTGTATAGGGTGGGGCATGATGTGCACTCGAGAGGAGACTGAACTGTGACCTTGAAGCTGTGACTAGAGTCAGAAAGTTGCTCAGAAAAAGTCTGAGGCAGGTCTCGGGCAGGTCTCAGGTCTGAGGCAGGAGCCCCTGGTTCCCACTGTGCTCTCTGCCTTGGACTGCTGTGAACAGCCTCTGGCTGATTGGAGCTCTACAATCACACCTTCCCTGCCATGAGGGACACAATGAGCCTTCCTTTCCTTAAACTGTCAGATATTGTGGTGATAGAAATGAATGTAACTGATCCAGGGAGATTAGAAAAGACTACACTTAGAGAAGATGATGGTGGGGGCCCAGGCAGATGAAGCTGGAAGATGCTTGATTCTTGGGAACCATGGAAGGAGAAACACCTTGAGTCCACACAGAGTATTAATTTTTTTTTTCCGAGACAGGGTTTCTATGTGTAGCTTTGGAGTCTATCCTGGCACTCACTCTGTAGACCCGACTGGCCTCGAACTCAAAGAGATCTGCCTGCCTCTGCCTCCCGAGTGCTGGGATTAAAGGCATGCACCACCAACGCCTGGCTAAATTTAAAAATATTTTAAAAATATTTATTTATGGGGCTAGAGAGATGGATCAGAGGTTAAGAGCACTGGCTGCTCTTCCAGAGGACCTGAGTTCAATTCCCATCTCACAACCATCTATAATGAGATCTGGTGCCTTCTTCTGACCTGCAGGCATATATGCCGACAGAACTATATACATAATAAATAAATCTTAAAACTTTTAAACTAATTAAAAATTAATTAGTGTGTGTGTAACTTTTGGGAGTTCTCTACCGTAAAGGTAACTCAGGATATCAGGTGTGGTGGCCAGCAGTGACCCAGGAGTCAAGACTCATCTCTCTTTTTTTTTGTTT